ACCCAAAAAGTCACACTGAGTAATACTTATCTAAATCTAAATTGAATAACAAAAAGAAAATGCCGAAATTAAACAAACTATTTATTTATCTCTACAAATAAATAGTGATCATAATTACCTACACAATTCATACCATTTTATTATTCCTTTTTTAGTGTCTAGAAATAATACGACAATTATTAATTTAACCACTTAGTCAAAGGTTGACAATTTCAGTACTAGGGCACCATCAGCACAGGATAAAAGAATATAGGTATACTCGTGTCATTAAAGGAACCGAAAATGCAACGCGAGGCAGTCTGTCTCTCTCGCACGTTACTTAGGATTGGATGCGCGAGAGGAACAGAATGTGTTACGTCGTCATTTGCGATTCCTTTCTTTAATGCCGCGAGTACTACAAGGTGCGTGTGTGTGCGTTACACGTGCCGCTTTCTTGCATAGGTACTAGGTACACCGATTTAACCCTAAAACGGTTACGTTACGGGCGTGTTATTTTTTAATTAAGGCTTACACTATTGATTCAATACTAATCTACATTGAATTATGTTTTGACGTGACAACGTCTTAAATTAGGTTGCGGCTGGGAGTCACTTATGAAAAAGTGTAACGCTCGGTAACGTTACGATGAGTTTAAGTTTACATGTACAATGTTTTAGTAAACAAAATATATTTCTATAGTTAAAATTTGTGCAATTCTTATTTTCATTCAATTCCTTGTTCCTATTGTGCAATTTAATTATATTCATATCAATAAATATTCTACCGAGAAAAAGACGTTGTCACGTAAAATCTTCGCCCGTAAAACCGAATTTACAGGCAACCATTTTTTTGTTATTTATTTCAATGCATATTTGTGTAATTGTAAAGTCCTTAATCTGAATATGTCCTTACTTCCATTACAAAAATAAAATAAAACCTATTTTGAGAAAGCCTATTTGTTGCTCCTACAAGTATTTAAATATTTTAGTTCTTTAATTATTTCTCTTTCTCGTTCTAATTTTTAAAAAACTTAGAACTTTAAAAACGGCCGCACTTAAAGTGGGGTCTTATTTTACAAAACTGCTTTATCATTATCAATTACGAGAAGACATAATTACTTAACATCGTAAGTATTAATGCTTAAGATCGTCTTTATCTTGGTATAGCCATACGCTTTTAATCATAAAAATGAAAACAGTTTAATAAACCTATTTTAACTATTGCACTGTTTTGTTACTTTCTCTCAAACCTTGACAGTGCTAAGAAAGAACGAGACAAAACAGTGTTTTAGCTAAAACAGGTTTATTAAACTGTTTTCATTTTTATGAATAGGAGCGATATTCTTTGAGTTATGTTTTAGTCCGTGATGTATTTATTTTGTTAATCGAAGCACCCAAAAACAGAAAAAGTCACACTAATACTGAGAAAATACGACCTACATACATCGTTAAGTTGTTAATTATTATCATTTACTTGCATCATTGTCGTCATATTTCAGTGCACTGGCTAAAGGGTTAAAAAGGTTCAAGGTTAGGTGTGCGCTCAAATATTAGGTATAATGAAAGGCACAAGATGCGCCGCGTGCGCTCAAATTTTAGGTATAGCGGCTTCCCGCTTTGTGGTTATTTCATTAGATCGTTGTTTCAGTCCATCGAAAGTGTTTCAGTGCGATAGTTGTGATTTGTCATTTTCTTGTTTTCGTAGTTTTTAATTTGCATTAAGTGAATAAAAATGAATCGTTATTCCAACTCAGAATATTACGAAATGATGTTATGCGTAGGTCATGAAGATGGAAATTTAAATCGTGCTCGTGAACTGTATCGACAACGTTTTGTCAATGGTAGACCACCTGCTGAACAACGACGGTTACCATCTTACCAATGTTTTTTAGATATGACCAGACGCTTGCACTCTACTGGTTCATTTCACCGTTCTCCTGGTAGTGGACGTCCCACTTCTGTTGATCCCAGGCAGGTCGAGGAGGTCTTGCGTCATTTTGAAGAGGAGCCAACCGCTTCTACGAGAAGAGCCGCGGCAAGATTCGGCATGAGACACGTTGCTGTTTGGCGAATTCTGCGTGACGATGGTCAGCATCCGTACCACTACCGCCGCACGCAAGAGCTGACACCAGCTGATTTTACGCCAAGGGTAAACTTCTGCGAGTGGTACCTCAGGCAGTTAGAAGCGAACCCTAGTTACGGGAACTGTGTTCTTTGGACGGATGAGGCAACTTTTACAAGATCGGGAGTTGCGAACGTTCACAACGATCACGTCTGGGCTCGGGTAAATCCACGTGTTTCACGACAGGGCAGATTCCAACATCAGTGGCGGCTGAATGTGTGGGCTGGTATTTATGACGGCCATGTCATTGGTCCCGTGATTTTGCCCTCGCGTCTGAACGGTGGCAACTACCTTAGATTTCTACAAACGGAACTCGAAGATGCTATAGACGATTTTCCAGTGGTAGACCGGGAGTATTTTGAAAATCTGAGCAACATGGTGTTTCAACATGACGGGGCGCCGGCGCATTTTGCACACCAGGGGGCCAATCGCCTAATGGAAATGCTTTGGAAAACGCTAACGCTTACGATTTTATTTTGTTATTTCTAGCCGCCTGAGGTATTCAAATGCCTCGCGCTCTTTCTTTTTCTTTTGCATTGGTTATAACAATATTAAAAAAAATGAGCGTGAGGTATTCGAAAACCTCAGGCGGCTAGAAATAACAATATAAAATCGTAAGCGTTAGCGTTTCCCAAAGCATTTCCGTTAGGCGATTGGCCCCCAGGTTAGAGAGTACCTCAATGCTAGATTCCCGCGAGGTTGGATTGGTAGGGGAGGACCGGTTCAATGGCCTGCTCGTTCTCCAGACCTCACGCCGTTGGACTTTTTCTTGTGGGGTTACGTGAAGGACAGGGTGTACTTCACTGATTGTCCAACACTTGGAGAAATGGAGCAACGAGTAAGATCTGTGTTCGCGTCAATTACACCAACGATGTTGAGAAATGCGACCCAAGCCGTGTCCCGACGGGCATCGCTGTGTATTCAGCAAGGGGGAGCTCATTTTGAACCGCTCCTCTAAGACTCTGAAGTAATGTGTTGTGTTGTGTTAGCTCCTCTAAGTTGTTGTTAAGTGAGTGTGTCACAAGTGTTTCGAGTTCCGGACCTGATATGATATCAGGTTATTTTCACGAAAGAATAAGTGGTGAGCTGATTTTCTGTTATACCTACTTTTACCTAGAAATAACACTTAAAATCATTAATCTAAATCTTGTGTGTACTAGATAGTACATACATACCAACCAAGCCTTAAAAGTATGATAAATACACTTGTTTAATGCTGAAAACTCTTTTATAATACTTAAATTATTCATGTATGTAAGCAATTACCTAGATAGGTACGAATTGAGGTCGTTCCTTATTATTTATTTTTGATTTCTAAGTTGACTCTAAACTTGATTTTTACTGTGAATTATTAATTGAATTAAGTAAGCTAATCCATCTTTTATCCTACTAAAATAAACACTGGGTTTGAATATTATTATTAGTTGATTAAAAATTAGCTAGATGAGGTACGTACTGATACTGGATACCAGGAGTAGATTTATTTAAGTTAGTAGGAGGTAATACTACTCCTGGTAAGGGTAATGAACTTTTAAAAGAGTTGCGCTGCAATGTCGATAATTTTATTTTTTTATGAAGAATAATTAAAGTTTCGGAAAATAATAATATTAAGCTACGGTCGCCATATATTGGCAATGAGCTCTATATAAGGGACCCTTCAACACCCTTTTCGCTTTATTTGTATTTTTGAAACACCGTGTATAGTAAAAAACCTTTTTCTAAAACGGTGAAGGGTTAAAGGGCTTAAGCGAGGCTGTGATTGCGCTGCCAAGCGCTCTTTAAACAATCATATCTCCGTCAATTTTTGTTTGACAGAAAAAACAAAAAACCAAATTGTTTGTCAGAAAAATACCAAAATTTTTAATCCGTACATTTTTATACGTATCTGTCGTCATTTTTGAAAAAAATAGTGGGTATTTTTAAAATTTGAAATTTTTGTTTTTTTTTAATCGTAACTTTTTTGAAAAATATGTGTCCTGAAGCAGCCAAACTGATACTATCTATCAAACTCTTCATAATAAAGTTAATTCTAGGCGGAATACGATTAATTTTAATTTTGACGGAAATGGCACTTATGACCCAACCCATTGATTTACAAGAAAAAACATTAGATGCTCCCCTTATTTGCAATACTGCTCACTTATTTTACGTGCAAAAGACTTTTAATAGTGCTCATTTTAAAGCTTATTTCAAGCACTACAAAACCCTTTTGTATTAGAATGCATAAAATGCATCTGCTCGCCGCTAGATGGCATTGACCACATCGAATTCGTTCAGACAAAATAAAAAACGGCTCTGATCTCTAATAACTAGCTTAATATTGCACTTAGAATACTTTATAAAAAACCAAATTGTTCATTGTTTTACCTGCTACAATTTTCTTCTTTATTAAATTTTCGATAAAACGTATATTTTTGGAGATATTTGCAAAAAACCGATGAAAAACGTGAAAAAATTGCGAATTTTCAATTGCCAATAACTTGAAAAGTATTGGATTTTTTGAAAAACTTTATAGATGATTCTTTGCTTAAAATTAGGCCTTCTATCGATATCCGATCACCCCCGAGAAGGGGTGACAACCACCCCCAGGGTGGTTGCGGAGTTCAAATCATTTTCACTTTTGAAGTTAAGGGTAAGATGAAACTAATTCCAAAATTGTATGCAATTCGGTTCACAGTAAAAAAAATATAGCAATAATGCTTCAATGACTGCACTATTTTTACGGACTCCATAAACATTAGTCAATAACGTGAGATAGTTTTCTAAAACTTGTCAAATACCCTATTATGTGAATAAAGAAAAAATAGGAATACAATACTTTTGATAATATAATCTGCCTGATGGAGAAAGAAAAAATCTTTTTTTATCCCTATTATATTATTATTTGTTAAGTTACTCACCATCAGACGTGAAGGTGATTGGCTCATCGCTATGAGCATGATGGACTAGAATCTTCAGGCTAGTGTTGGGCGGATATTTGCCACCCGATCTTGCCGCTATAACGTATCCTGGGTTCGTTTTAACATGCGAATGCACGAACCTTTCTGCAAAGATATAACAATTACTCACAGAGTTTCTATCATAACAAAATAATTCAAACAATATTAAAAAAAAGTGTGTATATTATATTGTCTTGCTTGTATAACTTACTTCTAACGTCGAGGACCATTTTCAGAAATGCTTTATGTTCGTTGTCGTAATTTCGCGTTCTAATTTTCACTATGCAATCGTAGAGTTTGTTCTGTAAAGAAACAAATATGTTAGGAATACCCAGAAAACAAGCTCACGTAAAAATCGTGCCTCAATAGTATCGCCTTTTGATTCACTTCTTGTAACCAAACAATAAAATAACAAATGCATTTAGATAACAAAAACAAATGAGTAAAAAAAATTCAATTGTGATTTCGAGTTTTACTAACAACATTTGTGTCATAAATCTAAACTATTCAAACACACGATCATTTATTTTAACTCATGTTTCGCGAAATGTTTATGTGTCTCTAGTGTCAGATTGTACAAAAGCAGTCAGTGTAGCGATGAGCATATCTACCATATGTGGTAGATATTTTTTGTGCCGCTTCCGTGCAGTGAATATGGTATCGAAGGTGTATATAACTAATAGCTAAAGCTTAATATAAATTACTCACTGTAGTAGATCTTTTGGCGACAGCTGGTACGCTTGGTATAGACTTAGGCGGCGGAGAGGGCAACATCGTGCTCTCTCGCTTATTGATGGTCGCGTATACGGGTGCATCTCGCATCTCTGTCTCGCCATACAAGAAGTCGAGTGGGTCATACTCTTCATACACGCTGCTGGAACACTCGCTGGCAACTACATATTCTGGATGAAAAATATAACGAATTCTAGTATTGTCGTGCCTAGAAATTTACATTATCGTAAGTATTGTATTTGGAAACAACATAACTTATATAGTATAATAAAAACAAATGGGATAACACAGTGACTGAAAACTGAACACAAACAGAATGCACAAAACCAAACAATTAATGAATATGATTAATGACTGAAAATATGTTCAATATGTCAAAACTTCTTAGTCGATTTTTAACATTATGTCCGAAGCAATAAGATTAAACATCGATTGGGATTTTAACTTATTTGCTTAACATGATAAGTTAGTGATGAGCTATTGTCTAGACCAGTGGTTCTCAAACTTTTTAAATGACGGAACCCTTTTGGGAAGCAAAATACTTGATGGAACCCTACAATAAAACAATTATTTTTATAAGTGTATTCTATATTAATCAGCATAATAAAAGTACAATGTATCCGTTACTAATTATTATTTACTTCACCACTTGGTAAGGACAATAATAGAAAACATTAAAAAAGAAAAAATCTAACTAGTGGGAGGTATGAAACTGTTTTTTATTTTTCATCAATTGCTTGATATCAGGTTTGATGGAAGAAAGTTGGAGTCTCATATCAGCTTCGGCGTCCAGTCTATTGCGATATTTTGTTTTCGTGGCTGCGTAGGTAGAGAATCCTGTTTCGCACAAATATGTAGTTGGGAACGGGAGAAGAATATCCAGAGCCATTTGGCCAAGCATTGCATATTCATCTTGGATTCTGCACCAAAAATCATTAAGAGGCGTCGTTTTGAACAATGACTCCATACTTGTGTCTGATGACATTTCTAAAAGAGATTCATATATCTCATTTGACATGTTTTCAGGCTTTTCCAAGTTGGGTAAAAAAGGATTATGAATCCAGGAGTTCACTTTAATTTTTGTATTGTGTTCTTCGGGAAAATACTTTTCAAAAGATGCGCGCATCGAACTGAGATATTGGACCAATTCTTCAAACACATTATCTTCAAACATTTCTGAGTCGTTTTCGCTAACAAACTCAGTGAGTAACGTAAAACTTTCTATTTCTTTCTTACCAATGCAAATGATCCAAAAATCTAATTTTCTTTTAAAAGTAGTTATTTTATTATAGGCCTGAAACACTGTTGTCTGTTTACCTTGCAATGATAAATTTAATTCGTTAAGTTTTTGAAAGATATCCGCCATAAAAGACAATCGGAACAACCAAGTTTTATCATACAAACGGTCCTTCAAATTAAAAGAAGTATCTGCTGAAAGAAACATTTGTAACTCGGCTCTAAGTTCAAATAGCCTTGTTAAAGTTTTTCCCCGAGACAGCCATCGCACTTCTGTATGGAGCAGCAGTGTTTTATGTTTGCTGCCATAATCTTCACACAATAATGAGAACAATCGGGATTGTAGTGGTCGTGATTTGATAAAATTAATTATTTTTACCGCTTCATCCATAACTAATTTTAGATTAGACGGCATTTGCTTCATCGCAAGTGCTTGTCTATGCAGAATACAATGACTGGAACTACAATTAGGCGCTTTATTTTTCATTCGTGACACTGCTCCTGCTGTTTTACCTGTCATCGCCTTGGCCCCATCTGTACAAATGTCAATGCAATTGTTCCAACTGAGATTATGTTCTTCAAAAAATATATTTATTTTATTAAAAATTTCTTCCCCGGTAGTGTTTGTAAGCAGCGATGAACACATAAGCATGTCTTCTTCAAAAGAACTTTTATATGGATATCTCACAATAACCAGCAGGATAGCCAAACCAGCGACATCAGTCGACTCGTCCATTTGCAAAGCGAATCGTGTATTTTGTAGACGTGTAACTAGTTCTTGTTTGACGTAGCTTGCCAGATCATGGATTCGTCGTGAAACAGTATCGTTTGATAGCGGAACAGTAGAAAGATGCTTTGCAGATTTTTCATCAAGCATACATTTTGTTATGTCTAATACACATGGTTTTATTAATTTCTCAGCGATAGTGTGCGCTTCACCTGCTTGTGCAATGCGATAGCTAACTAAGTATGATGCCTCCGTGGCCTTTTCGTTGGTAGTTTGTGTTACATGCATCATATTTTTTTGACTTTCTAATAACTGATCTTTTTTGCGAACAAAAAATTCTTTATTCTTGTCTTTAGTCTCGGGGTGTACGGTTTCTAAATGTCGACGCAATTTGGCAGGTGCCATGGAACTATTAGGAAGCAGTTTACTACAGAGCATGCAGAGAGGTGAGCCGTTGGAATCAACAAATCCGAAACTGATATAAGATTCATCATACTTCCTTTTTTTCGTCTTTGAAACCGTCGAGCTTGACGTCGTGGCACTCGTGGCATCATCTTCTGGATCGGTGATTGCTAAATTCTCCGCGCGCATTGCTTTTGAACATTCAGCGTCATTAGAAGATGTTGTTGGAACACGTTTAACACCTTTAAGCCAACGTTCCATTCTTCTTTATTTATAATGTTACAAGTCAGGATAGTGGGGTTTAAATAATGCACAATCGTTACTGCGTATAAGAGACTAAATTTAGAACCTACAGGGAAGAAATGTATAAAACTGAGACAACAGAATACAGCAGGCAGTAAAACAATGAACACCAGTTTCTCGCTAGCGAGCTTGTAAGTAGGTAGTAACTTATCGCTCCGAACGCTAATCATCAACTGACGACGCCAACGCGCGATCGCCGCTTTTATACTTAGTCCTAGACTCGATCTCAAATATTCTCGAAAATACTCGAGTCGGCACCTTTGATAAACAAAAAGCAAAAATAAAAACAGAAATTTAAAAATAGCGTTGTAAACAATATCGACTTTATCCTTTGAAGTTAGAGACGAAAGTCGCTAGTTGACAACTATAGCGTCTAATTCAGAGGCGGCTTTTATCAAAGAGACTGAGCGCTTACAAGTATACTACCCGCTCGTTTTAAGTTTGCCGCTGGCGATAGGTATGAGTGTATGACGTTCGAAATTTTTTATTTAATTGTAACAATAAAAATTGTGTACGTTAGATATTTGGGTAAAACTATGACACATTATAAGTTTTCTTGTCACGTGGGGGAGGGTACGCGCATTCCACAGACCGGCAAACTTAGAGCGAACGCGTTGTACAAGTATAAAATTGTTGAGACCAAACTTATGAGATATTGTACCAGCTAATGTAACACAAGCTTATACAAATACAAATAAATAAATAAATAACATTCATAGCGTTTTGTCTCCGCGCGGCCGCGGAGTCCGCACAGCCGCGGAGCGACCAGAGAGAGGTGTTTTGATTTTTTTATTTCTAAATTCTTGCGGAACCCCGACAGAGGTATCACGGAACCCTAGGGTTCCGCGGAACACACTTAGAGTATAGCTGGTCTAGACAATGTCATGCATTTCTTTTTGAAAAAAGACACTATTAAATTCACATTCCCACAGAAATAACATAGCCGACAGAATGAAAACAAACAGTAAGGAATCTTGCAAATGTAGCCACGTCTTTACTATCAATTGTAATTATTTTTATAATAGATGCATCGTCGTCCAATCGCAGATCTACAACAGAAATCTGTGCTATAGTTAATGGTTAAATAAATAAATATTTAAAATATATTTTTTAATTGAAATAGAAAGCTAAAGGAAAATGGTTTTATTTTTATAATTTATATGATCCTTTAGAAAATCGTTTTCAAATCCATTAATCTATTCAGAAGGTCGGCTTTCTTTCTATTTCACTATTAAGAAAACAACATTGCTATTTTATTCTTGGATAGTCCTTTTTGTACGGCCTTAAACAAAGCCAAGATTCACATTATAATACATAGTATACCGATGGATGACGACAATGAACAACTCATAATTTCTTCTAAAACCAGACAGCAATAGGCTATTTGACAGTATTAAAAATAAAGTACCAATAGTTGGTATCTGTTTTAATTTGAATATTAGAAGCGATTTCACTATTCTGAGAGAACAAATAATTAATATCTTTTCTCAAAATTCATTAAAAGGAAATCATTTTTTTGTTCTATGGTCACGTGACTGAAAATACTTGGGATTGGCGAAGACTAAAATGACGTCACATACTAGTAAACTTCCGGTCAAAGTTATTACATTGTATCATTTGACGTTTTGATGTCGATCGTGCACCAGTGAGACGCCATAATGTTCAAAGGAACCTTATTTTTTTAATATGGTTTAGTATTTTTATTTAAATACACAACAGAATTATGAATAATTACTTATTGTACTCTACTACATTACTACATTAGTAAATAACGTGAGATCGTTTTCTAAAACTTGTCAAATACCCTATTCAAGAGATTTGTGCCCTTCTGTAGGTGACAAAGCTTAATTCGACTTAAGGCTTCTAGTAGTAAAAGTCTGTGTCAGGTATTGCATAAATAATATAGTAAAGACGTGGAAAAAGTGTGAAGTGAACACAAACCACTCACCAGCGTTACTTTGCTCAGTAAGTAAGGGGTCAAAATCCTCAAGCACACTGACTCTTACGCTACCTGGGCCCTGGTGTCTGCCGCCGAAGTCTATCAGGTTCAGAGACTTGGGCAAGCTGCCTATTGTGTCGCTAGATTCGTTCGACTGCGACAATAGAAGAAACATTTATAAATATCAATCCTTAATAATATTGAATGTTACTCACTTGAATAGGATCTTTATGAAAATGGCTAAAATTGGAACTAACCATAGAGGTATAAGAATAGAGTAGGAGAGATATGGACTCTACTACAAGTGGAAGTGTCCCTCAAATAGAAAGAGAAAGAAGATGAGAGACTGCTAGCTTTTCTCTCTAATCGCGCATGCACATTAGCAACCGTAAGCATCTTACTATTTCGATGTGATGCCATTGGATCCATGCCTCACAAGAGAGAGAGATAGCTAGCAGTCTCTCATCTTCTTTCTCTTTCTACTAGACGGACTCTTTTAGAGCCGCCTTCCCCACTCTATTATTATACCTCTATGGAACTAACGCCGTCGTCTTTGTAAACGTCATATTTTGTACTATCGGCCCGCCCTCGCTTCGCTTCGCTGTAGAGCTGAAGTGTAGACTACAGTTTTTGTTCTCAGGCTTTATTATACACAATGACATTCATCTATGATTCTTCTTATACCTGCATGCAAAGTCTCAGCCCGATCGGTTTAAAATTGACAAACTTTCATACTAACTTTCATTCCATATTTTATCCCCTTGGGGGTAGAATTGATCAAAATCCTTTCTTAGCGGATGCCTACGTCACAACATCTGCCTGCATGCCAAATTTCAGCCCGATCCGTCTAGTGGTTTGGGCTGTGCTTTGATAGCTCACTATGTCAGTCAGTCAGTCACCTTTGAGTTTTATGTATATAGATAGTTTGTATGTCATTTACGTAGACATTGGCACTCTCCCTGAACTGTCACTCCCATTCCTAAAGATCCTTGCCGCACTGTAGATAAAATAATCGTTTTCAAATTGAAATTTGGAAATGATTTTTGAGTGATTTGTTTGTTCAGTACTACAGATTAATTTATCAGGAAACAATTTCAGAATTTACGCAACTAAAGGGTCATTTCGATGGTTTTCGGCAACGGGCGGTGACAACTCCGCCCAAGTGTATTATTTTAATATAGCAATTTAAAATTTGAGATTAACATTGTATCTTAACTTTATTAACTACCCAAAATCATAGAGAGCTCAAAAGTGGTATGACGTACTACGCAAATCGGCTTTGATGTTTTTTTTTAATAAATGTTATGCACCATGAATCTAAAACACGAAAATGTACATATTCAGTGAGAGCGCGAAAGTGATGGTCAGAGACATTGAGTTACGCCGCGCTGCACAAAGCATAACATCTGGCTTCTTCATGCATCGTCGCGTCTCAACTGACCCTAATGTTTATCATTTTACGTGTCATCGTTTGTAAGATACCATTGATACAAATTAACTTGTCTCGTCTGTATGAATGGCTGAAAGTTGTTATGTTTGTTACTCAATTACGAAAAATTGGAGTTAACCGATTCAGGTGAAATGTAGCACACACATACCTAAAGTTATTATATGGAATAACTAAGAGAACTAAATAAAAGAACACGCGCTACAAGTAAATTTTTACTTGTCTGAAATTATAATGAAGTTGGTTCTTTGTAAATGTTATAGCATTAAATAAAACACCGGCCAAGTGCGTGTTGCCTGTTGTTACCACAATATATTAAATAAATAATAAATAAATAAATATTTCCAACACACACCAATTAGCCTAGCCCCAAAGTAAGCACTATAAGGCTTGTGTTATGGGATACTGTACATATATAAGTATATTTTTATACAAAATACATATTAAAAGTTTATGACTGTAGTACAAATGCTCGTATTTATCACACAAACATCTGCCCCCACCGGGATTTGAACCCGGGACCTCTTAAGTCGGCGACACCATGAAACCCGGCGTACAAACCACTCGGCCACGGAGGTAGTCAATGTTTGAGCAGGAGTCTTTATTTTCTATACCGGAAATCATAAAAACCAACTATGTATCTCAACTAATATACCTTAATCAAACTGCGTCTCGAACTCAAAATCAATTCGATATTTTTTTTAAATACGAATGATAACCGCCGATTTCTTTTTTGTTTCTTCCAAGGCGGGGAAGCGGGTGTGAAATACTCATGGAAATCCTATAGCCGGCTGCAAGGTTATGTCAGACTCTTAATGAATAAAAGCTTCATCTGAAGCGATCATCCTCTGAGAAGGGGATGATGTGGTATAACTGCCGATCTTTTCAAGTGATTATACACTTTTTATAAAAACGTAACGTTAGCGCAACTCAGAAACCGTTTTGTTGGTATTCGCGGCAGCGTTGAGGAAGTAATGATATTTTATTGCGGATTTTAATTAGTTTTTTTTATATATTTTGTTGTCACTATTAATGTTTTCTTCTAAGGAATTTTCAAAAGGAAAGAAATTTTCTTTGACCAAAGTTGAACGACTATGACCCTTAAACTAACAAATCTAAAGAAAAGTTTTTTTTTCTAGTAAACTTTTCTTTAGATTTAAACATCTAGCAGTTAAATGCTTAATAAAAAATAACAAATCATAACTATAATTGCTATTTCTTCTTTCAAATGTTTAATACTTGAAAAAGTATTCATTTGACATTGTGGGTTACCTACAATGCGAAGAGATGGCGCTTAAGGCTAGGAAAATTTCGACGCGGCTAATAGGGCCGTGGTAGCATAATGGTCAGTGCATTCGCCCGGATAGCGAAGGATGCGGGTTCGTGTCCAGTCCGCTGCCTGGTCCGCGTGGATTTTTTTTCTAGTAAACTTTTCTTTAGATTTAAACAAATAGCAGTTAAATGCTTAAAAAATAAATAAAATCATAACAAATCTATCTTAATCGTTATAGTTTCAAGCACAAGCACTATTATATTGAATATTTCCAGGGTTTTCAAGGTAATAGTTTAGCTTTTTATGGGGGGCACTCAAACAAAAATATTTTTCAAAGTTTTATTCTACCATTATGTCGGCGTGATCGATATACATATCGACACAAATTTACAGCTCTCTTATTCTCATAGTCTTCAAGCAAAACCGGGGAAAGACAGACGGACATGACGAAACTATAAGGCGTTGAGCAGACGACGGGGCGGGGCGGGCATTTTGTCCGCGAAGCAATAAAGACCGCGTCTGCCCGTCGATGTCTGCGGCTGCCCGCGCCGCGTTCAAAGCACACGACGGGCAGAGGCGGTCAGTTTAGGACGTTCGTTCTAGTGAATAGTCCATGACCGCCCCGCGCCGCCGTCTGCGTTACTGCATATAAACTGGTTTGTATGATCCACGGTGGGCAGCCGCGGACATGCCGCGCCGGGCATCCAAGGCGCGGTCTTTTTGACCGCTGTGTGCGTTTGAAGTATAGGATTCACTTTGTGCTATTATTCGCGGCGAAATTGACCGGCCCGCCCCGCCCCGTCGACTGCAAAGCGCCTAAGGGTTCCTTGTCAGGACTACGGAACGCTATAAAGTAACTTATTACACTTGTACAGGCACTTAGCAAAATAAATGACTCCTATCAGACATAAACAAAGAACGATTGATAGAGAATGAAGCTTACCGCATTGCTCACTTCTGACAGCTTTCTCTCAACGCTGTCTTTATTTGGTTCATTCTTCATGGGTGCAGCAGGCACGGTGTTGTTGTTATTATTACTATTGTTATTTCCATTCAGTTTTTGTGCTGGATTCATTGTCATCGGATAAGTGTGCATTTGACTCAGCTGTGGATATAGGTTGCTGGTGGGACGAGGTGGTGGTGGTCTGGATATCATATTTGTTGTGTTATAATTGTACGCTGGCGTTTGTGGATTTGGTGGTCGATACCCAGTGTATGTTGTGGGGGGAGTGGCCAATCGGGTTTGACTATAATGCATTGTCGTCGCATACATCGGAGGGTTAGCTGGCACATAGACAGGCGTCGATTCCCGTGAAGGGGCGATGTTTGGGGGGTAATACGAATAATTGGGTAACGGTGTAGGCATTGGTGCCGGCATTGCCGTTGGTATAGGTGTGGGCATTGGTGTTGGCATCCCGTAGGGCGCTCCAGGGGGATAAGGACTGGGGGACATTGCGTTATAGGAATACTGGTAGCTGTAAAACGGCGCGTAAGGATAACCGGGAACCTGGTTGGGTGGATGATTCTGATTATTCATTGTGGCTGGAGTTGCGTCTTGTGTAGTCAGTGTAAGTTCCTCAGTTTGTCTGCAAAGAATTGTTACATTGGTTTTAAGTTGTTTCATTGAATTCCTAAATAAAAATCCTTGCCGTGCCGTCTTTGACCTATTGGAGGTTCTGGGCATATTAGGATAATGGAGCCCCTATGACTTCCGTTTGGTAATTTAACAGGTACTAGGGACTTTGTATTTGATCTGAGGGGGCCCCCTATCGATCGCGGGGCCCTGGGCACTTGCCCAAAGTGCCCACTGGGAAAGACGGGTCTGGTCAATTGTAAGAGGCCACCAGTCTCGAAGTTAGCTAATGAGACAGAAAAGCTACAAACATAAGCGGGCCGGCATTAACCGGCACAGCCGGACGGTAAAATCGAATATATGTAGATGAATGTTCGGCAGTAATTACTTCAGGTCGGCTTTGTTGTTCGACAAATACTGCCGAACCGACTATGCCGGCCCGATTTTGTGTAGCTACCCTCATCCTCACCATACAGCTAATGTTGAAAGCCAATTTCCTACTCTTCGGAGCCCTAGAACCTTACTCGCCAACAGAAACATAACATCACCAAAAGGTAATGTTATTTTACTGTGTGGCCTTCTATTAGGTGAATGTTACTTCCCCAAACGGGCTCCTTAATTCAAACGACGCATCGGTAAATTCTCTCTTAAAATATCGTGTTTATTTGATCAAGCCAAGACAAATAATAACAATCTCAAATTGTCGAAATACTTTATTACAGACGAGAAAGCGTTTCCTCACAAAACAAATTTATCTTTTTATCGCGCTCCTTTATCAGTTCGATATCATTTATCTTCAAACATGTAAGAAACTACAAAATAAAGGGGTTGTATGGGAAATGTAGGAATAATAGTGCCAACAACATTTTGTTAATGAAGCAGTTTACATTAAACATATCTTTTGATCACCCTTTGACTATAGACAAATAGATAAGATGTAAGTAGTTTTTTCCACAAAATGTAAGCAACAAAGTCCACAAAGTTTGATTTGCCAAATCAATAGAGAGTAGATACATTATAATTGCAATTAGTAGTCGATAGTGGCAACTTACTTGTTAATTTGATCTATGTACTCTTTCAGCGACGCGTGCGCATCTTTGGGTGCAGATTTGCTCGTAGGGCTAGAAAATGATATGAGATCACTGCTGTCATCTCTTGTGGGGCTTGCTCCAGTGGACCTGCTGATAATAAAAATCGGCTGAAATTAATATGGCATATTCAGGTTCTCTAAATCAAATAATTTTTCTGTGTCAATAATGTGAAACTGATATATTGTCTTAGGACGCATATGAATATTCGTAAGCTGATCAGACATCTGCCACTTTGGGCCAAAATCACTTAACCGGGATATACTGTAATAATTGGAGGGAGTTCTATAAGCTATTCATCACACAGCATTAGTGAGTCTAAAACAATAATACATTTTATTAACATCTTATATTGAAAAATAATAAATGATAATAATTAATTACATAGAAACTGGCATCTTCATTGTAACTAAGCATTGATTTAATTTTAATAACCAGTGCATTTAAAAACAGTTTTGCTTTAAGTTTCTTACTAATAATATTTTTTATGCCCAACAAACATGAGGATCACAATTTTCTTAGAACTAATTAATTGCATGATACAGTTCGAAATGCGTACGTAATCAGAGCATACGAGTTGTAAACTCAAACATTTTTTTTAAATTATCATAATTTAATAATATTTTTTTTTTCTTATTTTAGATCATTTTCGGTAAGAAAATTTAATGGTATTAAGGGTGAATAAATGGTGGATGGCAAAGACTAATAGAAAAAATATATTATCTCCGTATAAACTTTTAAAAAGGGCCCATGAATGATAATGTACATAAATTATTCAGTCAAATCTCTAAAAAATTGTTTTTTATTCAAATTCATTCAAATAATTCTACACATTGCCATTAAATGTTGTCATTTCACCAAAAACAATGAGGCAATTAAATATGTATAGGAAATTGTAGTCGTATAATCCATTTTCCATGTGGAGATAGCACTACTATACCTCTGCAGAAGTGTTATCTTGTTTGTCTTCTGCTTTGTTGTTTTGTTTTTACCTGGTGGAGTCAGCGGAGACGCGTCCTCGCGGCGGTTTCCGCGGCGGTGGGGGTAAAGCAGGTGGCGGTTCGTCGCTCTCGTCGCGGCGCCGGGAACTGACGCCTACGTCGCGAACATTATCTAGCATATCGATAAATAACGTATCAAAATTCGATAAACAACTGACCAATTACATTATCCTTATCACAAATAAGAAATGCCTCGGCAACACTTTTCATTTGTAAAACTGTAAAAACATTTTTTTTTCTCAAAAATCACGGTTTGTCGTGAATGTTATTTACGTAATCGCCATTTTGTTATCAAGAAAAGGACAACAAAACGCTGCGTTGAAGCGTATAGTTCTGTCTCGCTCGCTCGATTGAATTGCTTATGTAGTTGGGTCGGATATTTTATTTGATGCTAGTATGAGCGTACCGTACCTTCCCTTTTTCTTTTAATCTATGACTAAAACTGTCTTTGCAGCTGAGCTGTCTTATTCTCCATGGTCTGCCTGTCTCCTCACCTTGAGTTCCTGCACTCTCACCTGGTTTTTTTGTCTCCTAACCTAGAAGTATATTCCATATTTATTTTAAACTATATGTATAATAGTTAAAAATAAATATGGAAGAAGAGGAGCTCGAGGCGTAAGTGATTAGCGCGTTTGGCTGCGATCGTTGAAATTAAGGATCTTTCGCAGTGGTCAGTCATCGGATGGGTGACCAAAAATTTACTATCTCGAGCTTCTCCATGCTTCGGAAGGCACGTTAAGCCGTTGGTCCCGGCTGCATCTGCAGTCGTTAGCACCCACCAATACACACTGGGCCCGCGTGGTGGGTCATGGCCCAATCTCCCTATTCCATCCTTAGGGAAGGCCTGTGCCACAGCAGTGGGGACATGAATAGGCTGATGATGATGAAATATGGAAATCCTAAGTGGTAAAACATATGAAGGTTGATTATATTTTTTTATTTCGCAATGGTCTAGCAACAATCTAAATATCTTCTTAAAAGCTTTCAAGCTGAGAAGGTGCTTTGGGACAATTAATTTATCACGTCCTTAATTTTGCAAAAGGAAAGAACACTGGTGTAAACAAGAACAGAACAGCGAATACTATTAATTTCATTTTGTACTTTGATGCAGTAGAGAATCATATTTCAACAAAAGATGTAATTTTAAATGCTCCCACACATAACTGCGAATTCGCATCGCATCGCAAATATCGTGCGAGCGCACGAATGCATCGCAAGAACTTCTGATCTAATTCGCATCGCACATATCTGAGATATTACGTCACACTTGTTGACACCATTTTAGACCTCTCTATGACTTCCCTTGTACGGTATTTTTTGTAGACATGGTCATAATAAACACTTAAGCTATTCAAATGAAGATATGCTCATTCTAAAATAATAAAAAAAAAACTGTTTTTAAACCATAGATTGTCCATAGAATAGTAAATAGTTCCTATCAGTGTTCATAATCGTAATAAATGGATAAACCCAAAATCTTCTTTTTCTTCTTTTATAGATTTAACAATAACATCAATATTACAATCTTTTTGCGATCCATGTCACTATTATTAAAACACGTCCAATACGCTGACTACCATACTAAGGTAAGGTATAAGTCACCTTAACCAAATCTTTCCACACGAAACCGCATTGCAGCAATTCTCATCGCAAGTTTCTGCGAGGCGACGTCGCATCATATCGCATCGCAGTTTAGTATAAGAGCCCTAAATCATTCAAAATGTGACAGCTCTTATATTACAGATACTGGTGTCGATTCTGGCGTGATTCTCTAAACTTAAAACTAAATTTAACATCAGTCTCTCCTTTTTATTCTGTGTAGAGAATGACAGGGATCCACTGTTGTCAAATTTAAGTTTAGCTTTAGAGAATCATGCCAGAATTGACATCACTATACACACACTTGTACTAGAAATACATAACTGACAGAGTAATGATGGACTGTGTTATCTTTATTCTCGCATTTTAAACTGCTTTATATCCTTGTCTTATGTAATAAATGATTGAGTGACAAAGAAAACACTACTAAAGAATAGTTAAAAAAATCTACTCAGTCTCAGTTACAGATGGGATTTGAACCCGCCTTTTCCATTATCCAAGCAGGAGATGCATGTCTAATTCTGTATGACCTAGTTGAATTTTTCTAATACAATTTTCTTTAGATTTGAACATCTAGCAGTATAATGGTAGTAAAATAAATATAATAAACACTTCTAATTCCTGTTTATAAGCAGAGGAAAGCAAATTTGTAGTGACTATATATTTTGTATGGAAAAGGCTTTATTGATTTTGTTACTCCATTGCAGTCAATCTTTTGACTTTGCAATGACAATCGTAATATTATAATTTAATTAAAAAAATATATTCTAGATATATAAACTCTAGAGTACTTATAACATCACATACATCACACACAAAATGTTTCCAATCAACACAATCATTTACCATATTATGCTATAATCACTGTCCTATTTGCAGAGGCCAGAGACCTTTACATCCTCTTTTATTAAAGTGAGATAGTCAAGTAGTATGCAAAAAAAACATTGTACGATATTTGTGTGGTTTGGTATTTACAAAATCGTGACTATGGTAAGCCCGAGATGAAATCTATAGACATTCGTCTACTAGTTTTGTAACAACTAACTTACCGCACTTGTATCTTAAATAGCTAGTATATATCAGAAACTTTAGATTTTTGCATGATAAAAGTTTAAATAGAAGGGTTGCAAAAAGCTGGTATTTTTATAGTTTATGTAATGCATATATATACATTCAATTATAAAAACAACATTATTCAAAAATACATAAACAATTTATTAATTACAATAATGCGGAATTGAGAGCTAGAGAAAAGTCTTATGTATATTGTAGACAGAGTAGTCTTAAATAAAGGATATGGTAAAATTATGTATGAGCGACTGCCCTAGCAATGTATATATATTGTAATTAGTAATATTTAATGCTGAATGGCTGAATGTTTTTAATATCTATGAAAAAAGGCTCAGGAACTATTGATAAATTCACAATCTTGAAAATTATGAGAACTCCTACTATGTCATAACCTTGCTACATTTGATAAAAGATGTTGCCAATTATTTACAGGCAAGTGCGAAATAATTATACACGTTAAGGGCAGTTTCTTAGCCATGTCCTTTGTAGGTAATGGAAGATTAACTAACATTATGAGTAACAGGAATAAAGGTAGCAGCCAAACATTTAACAAATAAATATGCCATTATTGACTAAAGTAACTCTGTCACTCTGGTATCTCACAATCTAACTATGTAGTGTCAAATGTTAATTATTTCTTTACACAGGCATCATATACACTCTTAATAAACTATTTAATCATAGATTAAATATCATTGGGCTCTTTTAAATACAAAGTAGTGTTTATAATTGTACAGAATTATCTAGTTGAGTGTTGCATTAGTTCTATTAAATACTTTTAATGATAGTATTAATTATAAATAATAAATAAAACAAATTTGGACATCATTTTCTTTTCTATCTTTGTTTATCATATTAACGGTTTAGATTACTTATTACAAACCATGGCTGTTATTTTATTTTTTTTCAAATTTAATGTAAGTATAACTTTTGTGGAAACTTATCTAGTTTTTATTCGAAAGATAAACAGCGACAGTTAATCTCTTTCAAAATCAACAAGCATACAACGATCTAAGCAAAAAATATAAGGGATAAAACGTTATCAACCTTTTTTGCCTAAATTACTGTTTGTTATTGATAAACTGAATTGGGAAGATATTAGACTAAAGGCCTCTGCCCTCAGTATTCTTTTAGTAAACAATGTTACGTCAGTTACCTGCGCCAGAGAGTTGCTTCTGCCTACGAAACTGTTCCAAAGCCAGACTTTCCAAACTTAGAGCCTGCGCCTTCTCCAAATCGGCTTCAAATTGAATATCATAATCTGACATCCTGGGACGTTCCTTAATCTGCGACTGTAACGTCCATGAAATGAGCGTGGGAATTAAAACAATAAGAGCACTGTTTTGTAATACACTTAACACTATACAAAAACTCCTATCGACGCCGAAGAACAAGCAGCGAAAAGTTATTTAATGCATTATTCACCTAAAGAAGCTTTCTAGCCGATCATTCAAACACAGTAAACATTTCAAGACATTATCAAGACTGAAATTATAAAGCAATGAATTGTATTTGATAAAATTTTATTATGGGTCAATTCGCATCATACGGGATAATAACCTGACTACACAAAAATTTGTAACTATCACTTTTGACATTTGTGATGGAACACGTAAACGTCAAAAAGGACCTTCTCCAAGCAATCGGGTAACATTTGTTTTTTAAATTATTGTATTTTTTTTAATCGAGTTCGCAATTGTACTTGAAGCATGCTTAGAAGATGGTATCGATTCTGGCATGATTATCTAAATCTAAACTTAAATTTGACAACAGTGTATCCTTGTCATTCTCTATACAGAATGAAAAGGAGAGACTGATGTCACGCCAGAATCGATGCCAATATTTTATGATTCTACAAGTATGATTGGGAATAAAACTGCTTAAATGAACTAACTAGCTCCATAATTTAACGAATAATTTTGTGTTTTGTGTCCCAGTAAAATGAACGATTGAAGGAAATGTATTTTGTTTGAACGATTAAGTTAAATAGCGATCAGATACAAACCTGGAATTGGAATTGATTATGAGCATTTTTATAGAATTTTCGCTGAGAATATAAATTGATCGGTAATGACGGCGCCCGCCTTTTATGCTATGCTCCGTATTCATGGCAAACATTTTATATTAAACAAAGTTGAATCAACCACTCCGCTTATTCAAAGGCATAGAAATATATAAATAAACTAGATGTGCCCGCGATTTCGTCCACGAAAATTTTGAAAATTTAGTAAAGTAGAGGTGGTAGTATACTTTTATAATTTACTTTTTACCAAGAGAGGTGTTAGAAAACTTTGAAATAAATGTATGAAATGGGCAAAGTTAAGGCATGATCGGCGTGACCCAGGAAATTATGGCTTCAATAAATATCAAATACTTTTTAGTCAAACAGACACCTTCCGTCATATTGACTACAAAGTATTATTACTTAAACTATTATTTTCCATTGCAATGAAAAGCTACAAAAAGCTAGGTACTTCTCCTCATTATACTGATGGTCGTGATTACCTCGCGGAAATATTTAGTTGTTGAAAATATTACGCCCTTGGCAGCGTAAATTAAGTTCGTCGGGCGCATTTGCATTTCCGGAAAAAGTTTTCCTTTACATGTATGTTTTTGTATACCGTCAGAAAAAGAGGTTCCAACGAACAAAAAACACATCAAACTATTACGAATCGTATGGCTTAGCCTTGGTGTGTGATTCATTTTGAGACCTAGTTCCATACTTATGCCCGAAATTCAGTCATCTCTGCCTCGCTTGCTGCTAGAGTATAATGTCGTCCGCGTAGCGTAAAGTTAACTAATTATAAAACCTAGTCCTAATAATATTAAAGTTTGTATGTTTAATCAATCAAAAACGGCTTAATAGTTTAGGATTAAATTGGGCCACCTACAGGTAGAGGTTACCTGGATTGGGACATGGATTTACCTACTTTATAACCTGGAAAAATGTAGGGTTCCCGAGGGATTCTCAAAAAACTTAAAGTTAACGTGGATGAAGTCAAAGGCGGCCGCTAGTTTTTTATATATGCAGAGGCTTTTAAACACAATCAAACATAAAATTATATTTTTGACTTATATTAAATTACATTGTAACAGTATTGTACCTAAATATTTACCAAGTAATCGTGTTGAATATCGAACATGACTCGGGTTGACTATTTAATGAAATATTCAGTACTTTTATACATAGCGAATGTTTAAACTATCATCATGTTAATTCATATTATTATTACATTTCAATTTGGTTGATCTAAAACTTTGAAGGTATGTAGATGTACCTAAGCCCGAACTAATTACCTAAATCAATTGCGATTCGGGTCTCCTTTTCGTGTGTTTTCCTTTTCTTTTACGCAATTTGCTTTGTTTTGAATGGGATACAAGAACACTGACAATGGCATTTGTGGCTGCTTTTGATGAAGAAGGTTGACCTAGTGTGGTTTTTTTGACTTTGTTATCGGTAGGTGCGTCCTTTCTTGCTGATGATGTGAGCTTCGCCTGAGCGGGGTCTTCGGTTGGTGAGGAAAGACTTCTTGAATTTTTTACTTTGCTTTTGAATCTAGTTTTCTTTACCTTCTTAGGTTTTATGTGTATTGTTTGCAGCTGTACAGTTGTATGGGGTTGAAATTTCAGCTAAAATTAACGAATTATTTTTTTATACTTTTGATCGTTTACATCAACAAGTAGGCATACTAATAAATGTCCAAGTAACGCTTTCACATTCAAGCCGATGAACCATATTTATAAAAGTGGGAGTGAATTTGGTATCTGAATCAGTAGGTAGGTTTATGAAATTAAATTTGAAGGAAGAGATATATATGGTTTAAAAATGGAAAATCAAAGCCAACAACTGGGAATTTTGGCTTTTGAGGTCCACCACGGGGTAGAGGAATAGGGCAAAATTAGAATGTTTTACAATATCTGTAATAATTTAAGTAAATTGCTCGTCAACTCAACTCATACTTTACATCAGACAGAAAGAAGAAATTTTCTAGGCATTCTGTAAAAAAAAGTAAATTAAAAAAATCTAAAAACCCGACTGCTTAATTATACTTCAAATAAAAACTGAAAAGAAAAAAACAAGTCCAGTAATCTATAATTCTGTTAATAAGGAACAAAGCTACTTTAACAGTCGGGACCCACTGTTGAAAAATATTATGTATTCTTGAATATCTAATGGGTCCCGACTGTTAAAGTAGCTTTGTTCCTTATTAACAGAATTATAGATTACTGGACTTGTTTTTTTCTTTTCAGTTTTTATTTGAAGTATAATTAAGCAGTCGGGTTTTTTGATTTTTTAAATTTACTTTTTTTTAAATACATTTTGTCCGAGTGACATAGGCTATATTTTATCCCGATAAATAAATTTCGCCCGTACAATGCCCGGGTGGATCACTAGTAAGTATAATATCCTTACTAATATTATAAAGGCGAAAGTTTGTTTGGATGGATGTATGGATGGATGTTTGTTCCTCTTTCACGCAAAAACTACTAAACGGATTTTAATGAAACTTTACAGTAATGTAGCTTATAGATCAGAATAACACATAGGCTACTTTTATCCCGAAAAAAATGTTAGGTTCCAGAGGGATTTCCAAGAAACTTAGTTAACGCAGACGAAGTCGCGGGCGACCTCTAGTAATATTATAGATGCGAAAGTGAGTTTGTTTGTTGCGCTTCCGTGCCCTAATAGCTAAACCGAATACAATGAATTCCCATATAGAAGTAGATGGGAACTTGGTTCTTAGCTACAACATCGCAATACTTATAGGCGTAGGGTGATGAAAGGGGTGATTTACCTATAAAAATCTACATTATTTACTTTGAATTTTGCAGAATTATTACAAAACCAATATTATCGCGAGCTAATTAATAAATACAGGGATTCCAATAAGTATGTACTTACTAGCGAAAAATGGGTTATTTGTCATTATATTAAGTAAACCTTTTTTGTAACATTGAGTAATATCGTTTAAAAAAATGAAAAACAGTAAAATTCTGAGTTTTTCATTAAAATTCAATAATCATAAATACCTATTATTATAATATTTTTTTCATCATTTAATAAGAAGGAACTGTATCACAGTTTTATTGTTAGTACTTCGTATAGGATCAGATACTGCGAATACCCCATTTTTTTTTCTTTTACATAGTACACCGCGCTATCACTTTGTCATCGTTGTAACTTTTTAAATATTTGTCGAAATGACATAGTGTAAAAAGCAAAGTTTATCGTCTTTAAATATCAAAAGCGATAAAAGTATTTGTTTTGATAAAAAATGATTTGTTAATACAAAATGTGCATTTTGGAAATAGATATCTAATAATATTTTAGTTTTGATTCACTATTTTAGCGGTAATGACTTACACATTAAAAATAGATATATAGTGTCACGGACTTTTTTTTAGAACTATTCAAGAGATACATTTTCACTCTATATTACATTCATGTAACTTTTATTGTTTTTGCAGTGCAGGCCAAAATGGCTCGCAGGTGGGAGATTTTTTTCCGTCTTATGTGACACTTATTGTTATATATTGCCCAATTCACTCAATAACTACATAAATTATTATATATATGTAATTATCATATATGAGCTATATTACTGTTAAGTTTCATCAAAATCTATTCAGTATTTTTTAAGGTGAAAGAGTAACAAAGACCCATACAAACGTAAGATTGAAATTAAAAGCGTAAGTGGTTAATATACAACTTTAAAGCGTTGTAGATCCTAAACAATCATATAAAATGAAAAATGATGTTAGGAACCTAAATATGATTTTTGATTTTCTAGACAGTGATACCCCACTCGACATATTTAGTCAACTTATTTTTTTTACTTCGTCACAATATGGCGTCTAATTTTGCCCATATTGAATTTTGATTACTATCATATCTTTAGTAGCACTCCCATGATTGAGACGAATCGATTGATGTATTAATCATCAAAATCGGTCTAGGCTTTTGGTCTCTAGTGTGCCACAAAGGAACAAACATACATATATAGACTGTTAAACACATAACCCTGTCTGCGCGTCGCGCTTCGCGCTCTTGCATTGCGCAGCCGGGTAAAAAGGAATCAAACCTTTTCATATTTGATATCGTCAGCCTCTTGTTTGTCGCAAAAGTCGAGGATTTTGTTACAAACTGTCCGCAGGTTTTTCAATTTCTGCTTTTTCTTCTTATTTATGGCGCAACGATCTACTTCGTCCAACCTTAGAGTTCTGTTAACAATAAAAAGATTTTGGATAAGGTTCAATACAATTATTAGTTCTTGATACAGGGGTGAACGGCGGACAAATTGATCGCATTCTAAAATTTTTCTTTTGAAATTTTAGAATGCTTAAGATATTGAAGAAACTGTTTTTTTGTAATTATAGTAATTTATGTTATTTACGGGATTCTTACCATGTACCTTGTTTTTAGCGAGTTGTTTAATTTCGGCAAAGTTGCAAGCGCCATGATCATGGAGTAACTGAATACTATAATGTCACTCACTATGTTATTCTGATTACTATAATGTGGTCATGAAAGTTTAAAACAATAAATCCATGCATTATTAAAACAGATATCGCAATAATGCATCCGATATTATTGACCGATAAAAACGCGACTATAGGAGGGAGGCCTAAATAAAAAAAGGCCCTGTAAGTACTTACTTTATGACTTTGGGCTTGTTCATGATATCGATGTCTTTATCTTCGATACTAATAGCCGTGTCCCAGATGTTCTTGAAGAGTTGTCTTCGTGCTGCATAGCTATCTTCGGCATTCACAAGATGCTCCATGCTGCTGTTCTACCAAAGGACCCACTCAGGACATTTTATAGGTAAAGTATTTAAGACATGTTTAGTTTTGAAAGTTATTTATTTATATTTTACAACATATTTTTAGAAAAATGAAAGAATATTTGGTGGAATGTGGTGATAACTTTATGAGAGATGTGACAATGTCAAATTTTCAATTTGTCATTTTTATTTTATGAGGTTATTTTCAATTCGGTGAGAGTATCCTGACGTTAGAGATAATTAAATAGGTGCTATTTTGAGATATATAGGTAGTATTAAAGTTAATCCATTAGCAAAAATACCAGAAACTTAAATTGGTATTGTGGTAACAATCAAAGTAAACCTTAACCTTCTCATATGCTGTGTGTAGGTATGTTAATACAGAAATGGCCCCCAGTTACGCTTGCATGATATGAAAATCACGAACATTTACCAATATTTACTTAGGCGCAAAGAAAAATAATCGAAGCAACAAGTTGTTAACAATTCGAGCGCCCGCTCAGTAGGCGGTCGGTCCTCGAAGGTAAAGCTATTCTCAACGAAATCACGCCATATTCATCAGTTAAACTCGCTTACGGAAAATCGAAAAAGAAAGTATTAAGTATCTTTAGCATTTTTATAAGTATTGAAATGAATGAAGGATGGCTGTTGTATACAACCCCAATGCGTTATGGGTGGCTATTAGCGAATACGGGGAAGGAAATCTGTTCGAAGTTTATCCTAAATTGCTCGCGCAATTGCTGGTGGAGGAAGACGCTGCGAGGCAAGAAGGGGACACCAGCGAGGCGGAGAACCTGGTGCTGCCCAGCGACAAAGAGTGGCGGCTGCAGCAGTACTTCCAGCTGGTGGCCATGCAGAAGGGTCTGGAGTTGGGCATGTAAGTAACGGTCGGAGAGGAAAAGAAGCTGTAATGAGTATTTTATTAAGTATAGTCTAACGCAATAATAGGTAGGTATTAAATAATTAAAAATAAATTCACATTCGGTCATAATCTGGGTATTAACTAACAGAAATCAGAATCTAAACACACATCAATCGTATTGACCCCCCAGAAAAATGATAACTTTTACTCGTTTCTTCGTCTGTGTTGTGTTTGTTAAGCCCACAGGAAAATTAAGCAAATTTTCATCATCAACTTAATAGGTACCTAGGTATTGCTTGAATAATTCGAGAAATCTTTCTAACCAACCAAAAACCCCGCTCAGGCGAAGCTCACAATCATCTGAAAGAAAGGACGAACTCACCGATAACAGAGATAAAAAATATCGCAACGAGATCCATCTTCTTCATACCAGAAACAGCTACAAATGTCATTGCCAATGTTGTAGTGGCCTATTCAATCAAAGCACATTGGGAAAATTTTGAATAAACTTTCCCTAAAGTTTAGTTACGTTAAAGTATAACCGTCCCGACTCTACACCCCCATAATACGCGACACGGCGGCCGTGACCTGCCCTCTATTTTATGCTCACGTCATTCCCGTTACATACATTACCATAAGAAACACCTACGCAGCCTGGCACATTACGAATTGATATTCTTCCAAACTATTAAGCTTAGAATACAAAATAAAATTCTCAGAATACGTACAAAGTGAAACGTCACAGTTTTTAAAGAATTGTTTTTAATTGTTGAGTTCGTGACAGGTTTTTTGTGATTTCTTTCTCGTACTTAAACATTTAAGCAAAAAATAATCACCAAACAGCATTCAATTGGTTGGAGAATGACATTTTGAACAAGTAGAATATCTAGCAACGTGGATAATAGGCTACTTATGCATTCCCCTACGGAGTTTTTTAGCAACCTAAAAGCACTAAAAGTCTAGATAAGGTTAATCTATTCTTGGCATCTAAAGTTCGAGATGGAAATCTATTTAATTTTTCACTCTAACAACTTGAAAACAGCTTAATATTTCAGAACCGGATCCACTAATAAAAAAAAAACCGCAATTATTTTGAAAGACATGTCCTCTTCAAAGTGTAAGCGGGCTGTTCGATCTTCCAGGAACCAGTGGCGGATTTAGATTTAGGGGCGGCCCCAATCGACACCCTAATGTTACAAAATTAAGCGCGTCAGAAATTAAAGAAAATGGCCAAAGCATTGCAAATAATTTATTCTACTGACTTAGAAGACGATTTTTCAGAAAATGTGCTCACTGCACTTTCAAAAATTAATATCGGAACAGTGCTGTCAGTTTGTTGAAATCGTAACGAACTGGTCTTCAAAGCATTTACCCAAACGTGGATATTACTCTTCGTATGTGTGTGAGTACTCCCGCCAGTAACTGTTCTGGAGAACGGTCGTTTTCTTTTTTACGACGAGTAAATAAAATAATTATTTACGACAACAATGACGGACCAATGATTAAACGATCTTTCTTTGGTTAATAAGGGAGCTGATTTTTTAAAGAAATTGGATTGCGAATATTTAATTAATGATTTTGCTGCACTAAAGTGCAGTGCACATTGTATATATCTTATCTTGTACTCCTGACCTGTTGTTAAATAAAAAAAACCTAAAACCGTTTAAATGTTTTATTTAAATGTGCAATTATTCTCGAAACCTAGTATTATATGAGAAATTAGCAGCTATTATTATTATTATAGTAAACTTATACTTACTTTTACACACCCGTACTTGCGCTAACAAGTAGCTTCGTACAAATTAATTGTGTTTAATAAGATATTCAAATGTTTAACTCGCAATTAAGTGTTAAAAGTTGATAATAGTCGTGTAAAAGTTATTCATAGCGAAGTATGCCAAGTTGGCAGAGCATGTTAGAGCAAATAACTAGTTGTAACAACTTATGTACTTTATTCTTGCGAAAAAAACTATTTTTTTTCCTAAATTTCTAAATCTATTTAGATAAAAGTTGGCAATAAAGTAATTACATTGTGTAGTCTATGGTGAATGCTGAGAAAGGGGCGGCTGATGGCTTGAGGCCTAGGGCGGCCGAGCTTGCAAATCCGCCACTGCTAGGAACTAAATGGAACTAACACATAAAATCAATCAAAGATTATTGTAAAATCTACAAACTAAGATGAGAAAACTCTGAGGCAACTTGGGAAAAAGTCGTGCTCCGTAGCGTATATGCACTGAGAAATTACGAAATCAGAAAAGCGTGATTAAGACAAAAAAGTTCGCATTCAGGAATGACATTGCAGAAAAATCTTTACTGTTTCGAATCGAAAAATTAGTTCGAAAATAAAAACATTAGTTCCACCTCTTCGCACGACGGTATTGGGTGCAAGTTGGTTTGTCCCTACAGTAAGTAGACTTCTAAATTCTTAGGATCAGTCCATTGATATTTATGCTGTTAGTCTCCAATACATTTCGTCAGCACTTGCAATTGCACGGGAGGCAAGAATCTTCTCAAAAGCCTTCCCGGACTCATCGAGCAACACCACCGGCCGGTAGCCCGCTGGGGAGTCCGCCGGGCGGCCTTCCTTGCGGAGAAGGCAGAGCCGCCCCACTCTCCAGCGCCTGGGAAAGCGACCCTTCGCGATGCATGCATCCAGCACCGCGCGGAATCGCTCTCGCAGGAGGCCCAAGGCAATAACCATTACCTTGGCTGGGGCCCCGTCCCGCCCCGGAGCTTTATTGCGGCTCCGGAGCCGGTCCCTCACCGTGTCGAGTTCTGCACCAGACACGGGGGGGCCAGCAGCCCACGTCCCCGGAGCAGAACCGGGGGGCATCTTGGGGGGTTCGAAGGGCCCGGGGTCTGGGAAAAGTGTCCCCAGCACCCTTCTCAGCACCGCGGGCTCCATATCGGACGTGGAGGGGGCCGCCGAAGTTGTACGCCCGGCGGAGGACCTCCTCTTCGCCGGGCGCTCGTCTGGCACGCCTACGGCATCGTTGGTAGGCGCGCCTGGCCCCCATACTGGCGGTACGCAGGATCGTGAGCTCCTGCGTCCACCAGTATGCCTGCCCACTCCTCCGTGGACCAACCCGCGCCCTCGGCATGGCGGCGCTGCAGACGACGTTGATGTCGTCCGCGAAAAGGCCGCCATGCCGTCGGCATCCCCCGCGACAGCGTCAGGGACCCCTGCCCAGGCCCGCACCGTCGCCGCCTCCTCCGCCACATCCGGCTGGAGGCGTGCGAGCGTCCACCGTTTGAACGGCGAGCCGCCCGCACGGGGGCCCACCGGGGCCCCTGGGGATGCCGTGGAGACCTCGTATCGGAGGTATCGGTGGTCCGATAGGGTCTCCACATCCGCCTCCACCCGCCAGCCCCGGATACGGGCCGCGAGCGGCGGGGTGGCGAAGGACACGTCAATGAGTGACGTGCCCTACCACCGGACGCAGGTAAGGGTGGTTCCTCGGTTGAGGATCTGGAGACCCAGGGCAAACACCCAGGCCTCCAGAACACCACCCCTGACGTCAGTGCGGGGGGACCCCCACGCGGTCGATTTCGCGTTGAGGTCCCCGGCCACCAGCACCTGACGAGGAGCCGCGCGGTGCACGACCCCTTCCACCGCAGCGAGGAACCGTTCAAAATCGGGGGCCTAATGTGGCCTAAGGTTGACGAGACTAACCATGAGAAATTAATAACAACCAATAGAAATCGGTATTAAGTAAGTACCTACTAATTCAACAGAAAGATGTTCGTACTAATTTATTTTCTCGAGCCTCGAGCTCCTGCGTGCTTCGGAAGGACCGTTAAGTGCTCCCATACTGAACTGCAAATTCACATCACATCGCAAATAAATAAATATTTCCAACACTCGCACTAATTAGCCTAGCCCCAAAGTTAGTACTGTGGGGCTTGTGTTATGGGATACTAGGTATACGGGACGACGGGCTGCCGCAGTAGCGGACAGTTACCGACTCGTACTGCGGGGTGGAGGAAGTTACACGCAGGAGTCTTGACTGTAGTGGACTGTAGTTTCGGTGAATAAAACCCCTGGTGTTCGGTATTGAAGAAATCGGTGGGCGCTGACAATGGATGGCCGGTGAGAGGAGGCTGATGGTCCAGAGTGAACCGCTTGGTGTTTCTTCCTGTTCCTTAGGGTAGAAGCGCCTGTCGCTGAATGCATCTCGGAGCCTGTTCCGTTTATATGCTAGGACTGAGCTGGCCAGCGATCCATTACCTCACCCCCGCTATACTTTATTTTTCATTTTCTCAAAAATTACATAAATGCGAGCTTAAAACTAATTGTACATACATCG